AGATTAAAAGGATTATTCTTAATAAAATCACATTTATTCGATGATTGACCGATATTRATTCATGGGGCATATTAATATTATACAAGATTTATATAAACCTAACCTAATGMACTTATCTACCTAATGTATACCAATCAATATACTCATTGCAATCGTTTGAAACTAAATTAATTTAACGTGGATGGAATATTATCGTTGTATATTCAGGTGATTTAATAGAATAAACGATCCGGATAAGATCCTCAGTTTCCTAATCAAAAATATTACGAATAATTAAGTTTACGGTCGTTGTTTTCAAGTTTATTTTTATATCGGGTATAATTTTTTTCAGTTAAAACCAAGATTTCATAAAAAAAAAACTACATAAAAGTTGTACCAACCAACTCATATTTATTATTATGTTGCTTTTTGCATGATATTTTGTATTACTATAAATAATTACTATACGGAATTGTTTCTTCCTTTATATCATTTTTATTTTTACACTCGAATATCGTATGACGTACCTACCTCAGATTATATACCTAAATCCAAAGTCTACATAATATTTATTGTATTTTATGATTTATTGAGAAAATGCACATGTATTTACTACAATCTTATTGCCATTATGTGTGTCAAAAACACTTTTCGATCAACACGTTTTCCTTATTCAATCATACATTTATCGATCGCCAACCAATGAATCATACGACATACATGATTGCTATTACTAGTCGACGTTACAACTCGACTGTGATGTCTGTACCTTCATTAATCTTATTTTGAAGAGACAATTTTAATACTTTACGTTATAAGGTAGGTAAGTAGGTATTAAAATACAAATTTAACAACTTGTTTTAGTTGAAATAAATTTCTATCAGGTGCTTCCTTACATTTAATAAAAAAATAAAGAATAATATTCACTATCCTATGTTGTCAGTTTTGACGTGACGACATTATAATCTTATAATTACATACTTACTGACTTTCTGTATCTATACATTTTTACTTAGGATGATTGTCTTAAATTTGTATAGAGGTACCTGCTACTTATAGACCCGTGTTTCTTAACCTATGTTCCGCGGAACCCTAGGGTTCCGCGAAGATCACTTACGGGTACGATATGTTATAACATGTTTATCTTTATGTTTATCCATCTGTCCCTAAACTCAAATAAGCTTTAAAACTTAAAAAACWAATTTATTATTCGATGCAAATTAACAATTAGACTTTTTAAACAATATTTACACGAATAAAAACTAAAAACACTCATTAAACTTCATATAAATCTCGGTTTCTTAAGAAAAATACATTGATAAAACTTTCAACTTTTTTAATTTGAGTTAAGCTGATTACAAATAGAATTAAATAAATTGCGTATCCTTTATCCTTCTTTTATCCAATATTATATTTTATTTTGGTTTTCAAGTAAACCAACAATTTTAAATCATATTTTTCAATTTTTGTCAGTAAAAAATAAATTAATGCCTAAGCACAAGATATCTATTCCAATAACCAATACACAATTATATATACCATAATCATATACARGTTATTCRCCCWCATTTTTTTCCTTTARTAAGAAATTTATTCAAATTCTGATTTTTGGAATTTTTAAATAWACTTAAAGACAATTTTTTTWAAWTTTTKRAWYTTTT